TATGGCATGTTGTAATAAAATAACCTATGATAACAAGATGATATGGGTAAAATCAACTAGCCTCCTTCCATTGAACTGATTACATTTGTAGACATGCGTTAAAAATTAACAACAATAAAACTTACATGCTTATTTTTTTCATTATTTTTGCTGGTACTAAACTCTACCACATCAAAATTGTAAGATATAAAATTACATGTTCTGTACCATTGCAGTGTATGTAATTCATAACAAAAAAATAATTTCATATGATGAGACTGAGGTTATACATGGAGTATGAGTTCAGATTACAGTCTTCTATGTTGTGACATGGTCTTATCTTGTATGTGGATACCAACATTTCAGAGGAACTGCTGCCATCAAAATGAGGGGATGTACCTGCAAGTTTGCATGCAGGTATGCTTCAGAAGACTACAATGTGACATCTGCAGGTATGTTTTTGTATTATCTAACTAATATCAATCTGCATTACATGAAATATGCCAAAACTAATCAATGTTTCATAGCATCAGCATGTAACTAACTCCATGGAGCTGTGTCCATCTTGGGAAGGTGCCATTCTATCAGCTACTCAAGAAATTCCCAACATTTTATAGAACCTGAAGGTTCTACAGTGCAATCTTTCTGAATTATCACCATGCAAGAATTCAGTTTCCTAGCCACAACAGTTCAAAAAGTATTGTCAGTAAACTAAAAAAATATTATTATAATACCAGCAAAGTGTTTAAAAAATTATGAGAGGCCAGAGACATGGGTTCAGTGATATGACAAGCAGCTTTGGTTTAAGGAAGCCCAAAGTACATTGGTCACCAGTTTATCACACACTTACATACTACAGCATACACCTGTCTAGTGCTTATTTTACTGTGAACCTATTGACCTAATGTCTTTCTAAAAGTAAAGGTATCCCTGTAACAAGCCTTGGGGCCCATAGGGTTTTGAGATGTTGAGGTTCCCACATTTTCTAGACAATCGGCTCATAGATGGCGGCAAGGTTGTCAGCCTTATGTGCCGAATGCCCTTTACCCCCAAGAATATTCCTGGTACTCATTTCTGTTAGAGGCTGAGTCAACCCCAGGGCCATAGTGCGGCTGGAAGGACTAGGTCAATTGAAAAAATCCAGTTACCTCAGAGGGACTTGAAACTGCGACCTCCCGGCAGCGGACATAGACACAAACTATTCCGGTACCAAGAACACTTTTAATGAGAAGGCAGTTCCTGGCAATACAGGTAGCCTGCCCTCAATAATCCTACTGTCTACCAATAACCTGATTCAGTCGCAAAAGCAACTAAAGTGTGGTCAAAGAAAACTTTTGAGTTCCGTAGCACTTGAAACAGAACAAGTCATCAAGAATTTCCAATCCGTCAAAACTACTTTGACGCCAAAAACCTGTCCTATTACTTGTTCTATCCCAAATCTGAGAAACTCACGAAGGCAATGATATGTTTCCTTTAACTCTTTGACTGGCGCGAAGGGTATTTAAATCCCACCCCTGTCCTGGCAGGCCTTTTAAACATTATGTCGCTAAGATGCATGTGCTTACTTTTTTCTAAACAACTTCAACAAAAATTGGTTTTTAAAAATGAAATTTTCAGGAACTATTAAAAATACAATATTTTATGCAATAAATGTCTTTCCATACATTTTTAGTAGTTTTTCATTGTGTGATAAACATTGAAACATGAAAGTTTGCAGAGAGCCACACCACAGCTTGCACACATGACACTTGTTTCTTTTCTAATCTTATGCTTAGCACACACTCGACACTTTCTCATGGCACCATTCTTCTTATTGTTACTGGGAGGAACATGGACCATTTTGTGAACTTTCAAGCCACCCTCTAGACGATTTTCTGGGTCTTTCACTGGTGGTCTTCTCAAGGTCGCGGGCGGAGGCGTGACTGCACTCGAGTCTGACGCAATAGATTCGTCATCCACTTCATTCCTTGACTGTTCTCCCTCTCCACACTGTTTGTTTTGTTCTGTCATTTTTTCTACACAGTCCAATATAAAATCTTTGAATTTGTAATTTCTCTTCTTGTATTTTTCTGTTGTTGTGTACTTTTTGAATAGAATGAAACTATTCAACGCTGCCATTTGCAACAAGAAAAACACCAGTTTCTTTGTCCACTTTACAGTTTTGCGGGAGCAAGGATAATAATGCAGCATTTGATCGGCCCTGTCAACCCCTCTCATATGTTTATTGTAGTCCCCAATTACCTCGGGTCTGCATATTTTTTCTCCTTTGCGATTCGTTTTTGCAGATTCCACGATTTTTGCTGTGTGAAGAGTGGAGATAAGTTTGACGTCTCTTTTATCTCTCCACACCTGTACGAGAACCTGCCCCTTCCTAGAAAACACAGATTCCCCTTTTTTCAATTTTTTTACATCATTCTTTAGTTCTTTGGGAGCTCCTCTGTCCATTCTGAAGGTTCCACACACATAGGTATTTCTCTGTAATAACGTCTCACATAATTCTACACTATTGTAATAGTTATCCTGGTAGAGATGATACCCTTTATCTAGAAGCTGTGGCCCCAACAGATCGACAACTAATTCTTTTATAGGCCTTGATTTTCCGCAATAAATTTCAAAATTCCAAATATATCCACTTGTCGATTCACAAACAAGATAAGCCTTTATACCGTACTTATCAGGTTTATCAGGCATATATACTCGGAAGATAAGACGTCCTTTCCAAGCGATCATTCCTTCATCTATTGCAATTTCCTTTTCAGGGATATATGTGTTCCTAAATTTTCCCACTAATGAGTCTATAATTGGCCTAACTTTATACAGGCGATCTTCACAGTCAGCTGGTCGTGCATCGTTGTCAGCAAAATGAAGAAATTTTGAAATCTGTTGGAACCGCCGCAAAGACATCTTTTGTCCATACCATGGAGTGTGAAATAGGGGCCTAGTGGACCAATAGTCTTCAATTTCAGGGCGTTTGTCGATTCCTGTCATGAACACAATTCCTAAATATGTCCAGATTTCATCTGATGCGACATATTTGTAACTGAGTTCTCGAGAGTGAGGAGCTAACTCATGTGTGTTGAACTGCTGGTGAGCATAGCGATTGGTTTCAGTTGTAATGTGAGTTAATAAGTCATCATCCAGAAAAAATTTTATCCATGAAAAGGGGTGCATTTTATGTGTTATATCAATTTTGATCCCGGAACTACTAGTAAATGGAACTATTACTGGTACAATGTCTCCGTACGTCCATGAGATGGGCGTGTCAGGTACCGCACTCGTGGTAGCTAAATGTTCATGATTACTGTCTTGTGGATCATTGTCTATCACTGTACTATTGTCACTATCAATTTCATTCAATTCAGGAATCATTATTTCATCGCCACTATCATCATCAGCACAAATCTCCTTCACAACACTTTCCAGCTGGTCTGTAGGAACATGCCGACACTTGCTGCGAGAAGCCATGGTGAAACTGAATGAATGTGAAATATTTTTTGAACTTTTCCTTCTCGCAGGGTTCTGACAGTAATATAGACCCCCACAAAGTTTACAAGGGTTCTTTACAACCATGCACAAAAACTATCATATATATGTCTTTGGTTGAAGAGAGCCAAGAGAGCAAATAAGAGAAGAGATTTTCAAAGCGTTAAAACACGCCAACGCCAGGGAACGGCTGGCATCGCCCTGGCGTTAAAACACGCCCGCCCCAGTCAAAGAGTTAAGATGGGGAGGGCTTCCCCAGATACCGTCTGCAGCATGTGATGTTGGTTTGGGTGTCTTTTGGGCTATCCGGTGGAGATGTTGGGCCCAGCCACAGTCATGTACCTCTCTGTTTACATGGTCACGAGGCATGGTTTGTCACTGAACCTGCCCTGTGTGACTAAGCTAGGCTCAGACTTATCCATAATGACAGTCAATGCGTGATGGTGGCCTTAATATATATGCCGGTGACCGCCCTTTTCCGTCGGCTGCCATTAGTTTCCTGATGGTTGGCCATCCATTGTGTCTACTTTTATGTTGTTACTTGGTTGCCATTCATGCTTTCTTGGTGGTCGGTGTGTCTCTCTTTGAGGCCTTTCATCATTCTTCCGGCACCGATTGTCCTTTCCTGCTTCCCTTCCATAGGGGGGGAGATACCCCGTGGCCTGGCTCTCCACACCTCCAGCATGCCGATCGTCTTGTGTTTATGCTCCTCTGGGGGCTGATCAGCTCTCACAGAATGTTCTGGCACATGTTATGTGTGGTCTGATGGCTAGCAGCACAAGCCGGCAGTTCGAATTGCCACCAAAGTGCGTTGTTCACTGTCTTCTCTCCTCCCAGCAGCAGCTGGATTTTTATGACAGGGTCTTCTACCCCATCTGCAAATGCCTTTCTTGACTCCCTTCTTATGTGGTCCTCACGTGGTACGGGGTAGGTGTGGTGGGCAAGCTGTTGATGGCTATGGAAAATTCTTCCTAGGATTCTCAGACACCCTAGATCCTTATTTTTAGGCAACAACATATAGTGGAGCAGGGGTATAGTTCCAAACATTTTTCACCTCAGCATTAGGTGACGAGTTGTCAGCTTCTTGCCTCAGTTACATTAACTCTGGAGAAATATGTTCCAATACTCATTCAATAGGAGACTGGATGGTCACCAGAACCAGTGTGGATGCTTTGGAAAATTTATTTGCATCTGCCTAGAATCAAATCCCAGTCCATTGGTTCTTAGGGCAATGGCCAAGTCACGATACTGATTGAGTATACCAGCCATTTCAGAAATGGGGGATGGGTGTAGTAATAAATGAATATTAACTTACTGGAAGATCCTGCCTAAGTTCACCAACTACCGGATATACTGATCTGTCTAAAGATGATGTCTGATGACAGGTATTTGTATAATCGATCAGTTAATTTTGTAAAGCGTTTACTCTTTCTCTTATCTAATATTCGTATGGTCATTACTGACCGTCACGCAACCGAGAAATGATGCTTTTAAAATAGCTGCAAGGTAATAAAAAACTCAGTTATAAGCATCTTACATATCATTGGCAACACTTTTCTTTATTCTTTGAGATATGGCTAATCTACAACAATGCTACTGATCAGGAATAATAACAGAACATATACTATATTTACAAAGTAGTCTGACTTCACACTACATACCCATGACTTAATGTGTTTTCTCAGTGATAACATAAACTCATGTCACATCTCAACATTTCACAGAAATTAAAATATTAACACGGATAACTATTTGAACACATAGCACACCTTACCGATCAGGTAATATTGTTCAACCAGCATCAGTTTTAAACCACCACATTATGTATGTGAGATTAATCTGCTTCTAAAGATAACTTCACTGAATTTTAAGTGAACCTACTCATAATATAGTCTAAATATCCCAGATAATCAGACACTGTGCAAAGTAATGTAAGAGTGTAAGAAAAAAAAATCTCTTCTTTTGCCCAAGCCACACACAAACACAAGAGCAGGTACTGTCATAAGCACAGACAAATACTTCATGGCCCTTTATTTCCATGTTTTTTCATGAGTAAGAATGCCATACCATGTGTACGAAAGTGCTTGCTTAGCTGAAATGATGTATCAAAGATTTTTCGACAAACACGACATTGGTTTTCAACAAGGTCAGGCGAGAAGTCTTCTAGCGGAGGTGAGCTTTCTTTATGTATTGAGGTATCTTCCATTTCTTCACCTTTTGCTGGACTAACGCAACAATTATTGTTCTGCAAATAAGCTTCAGCATTCTTTATACGGTGGCTAATAAACAAGTGCTTTTCCAATGATGGTTTTGCAACAAAACACATGCCACATTCCATACACTGAAATGCACTTTCATCACTATGGTGTAATTTGATATGTTCATGAAAAGACTCGGCACATGAATCTGCATAATGACACTTGGAACATTCATATTTGTGGCCTGATGAAGGGACTTGCTGAAGGACTGGAACAACCTGTCCACTACTGAAGGGCGTATTAGCTCCTACTTCCTTATCAGCCCTATCTGATGCTTTCTGTGAAGATTTCTTCTTTCGCTTAATTTTAGAAGGGACTAAATCATAGTCTATAGGTATATCACGTTCCTTCTTAAGGTAATATGCATTTTCATAATATCCTAAATTTTCATGAGAGTTATCTCTCTTTTCATTACCTGAATTGTTAGATTCCTTCTCAACACAATTTTCATGAAACTGATGGTCTTTATTGTCATTGTCATCATCATCATCATCATCATGAACAGCATTCCCATTTACTTTAGTCACATTACTAGAATTTGATGCTGTTGCTCCTTTCTTCACATACCTGATTTTGGGGTACATACGCTGATCTTTACTCAGAAATGGCACTCTTAAATTTGTATGTTTCAGCTTTAACTTATTTATCTTGGGCGACAGCACCAACAGCTTGAAATTGGGATGATTAGATGCAAAATGTTCCTGTATTTTAAGCCAGTCCATAGATATCAGCATTTTACAAATATGGCACCGATATTTATTTTCCAATGAAACATTCGATGATGTTTTCAATTTTTTAATATTGGTGGGACCATTCAAAGCGATACTGTTGGCACTCCTTTTAAAAACTGAATTGTTAGCTGAAACAGTTTCATCGCTAGCTTTAATTTTAGAAGTTGATTCAAGCGTTCTATTTATCTTCAGAAATGAATTTTTTTTAGCACATTCTGCACAAAATTCTGGAACCTTTGCTGCACCTATGCCGTTTGAAAAGAGAATCAGCTGTTCTCTGCAATTTGAACACAAGTTTAAAAAATGTATAGACTTTCTAGGAGTGAAGGATGAATTATCAGGACTGGTACTGTCCATGTTATCCAAGATCACAGGAATCTTGACAACTGTGCAATCTGATACTTCAGAAAGTACTGCTTCAGTTTCTTCTGCCATACTTTCACATTTACTTTCACTCAGGTACACATATTTATTTTCTTCTTTGTCATTCAGGTCTTTCTGTACTTCTTCCCCCTCCATGGGTGTGGCATTTTTTGCTGGAGCCCCAGTGTTCTTAATCTTTTGTGGTGTTGCATCAAGTTTACGTATAAGTTTCTTTAGCTTTGGCTGAGGCAGCACTGCTCTCTTCACAGATTCCACAGCAGATTTTGGAAGGACAACTAACTGCATTTGATTCTGAGGAACAGTGTAAACTACTTTAAGAGGGTTGTTGGCCTCTTTGTCTGGATGGATCTTAATCTTATGTGAAGCTAGAACCTTATTAGGAGATAGGGCTGAGGGAACCGCTGCAAATTTCACTTTGCCACTCCGAGAACACACAGCCCTGTGTGATGCAAAATCACTTTTCTTCTGCACAAAGAAACTGCAGTCACTGCACTGATATACATACATACGAACAGATTTTTCTTTCGAGTGTTCATTTATATGGGTCAGGAGCCGAGACTTTGGTATGACTCGGTTAGGACAAAGCTGACACTGCTGGTATGTATATGTCACAAACGTTGGGTTTTCATGTGTACTGACCTTATGATCATGTAATGCCTTCATACTGAAGCAAGCAATGGGACATGCATTACACTTATACACAGCTTTCACATGCTGTGTAAGGAGATGTACCTCCAGACTAACTGCTGTAGGAAAGAGGCACTTGCACCGGATACACCTGTAACATTAATAAAGTAAACTCAGCTTGTTTTCATATTCTGACATGTTCAACATACTGTTTGTGGGAGAATATGTTTATGTTTGGCTGTATTCCTGCAGACATCTCATGCAAGCACTGGTTTCTGGGATTTGTTTAAATCTTTGAGCAAAAATACAATATGTATCAGAATGCCTTTATTGTATAATTATTAATATTATTTACTTGATCCCAATACCAATGCAAGGAATGTGAACACTGATTCATAATTCAATCTCCTGTTTGCTTAAAAACATATTTATTATTTTACATTGAGGTTAGAAGACAATTATTTCAATTAGTTCCTTTAATTCCAAATTACTTGGTATGAAAAAGATAATCAAAAGGAGGTTTCAGTACAGATATTGCATTTTACCTCCAAAACATTACACCTGAAATCTTACAAAACATTACAAGTTTAAAACATCTGCTTTACACACGTTTCAAACGATGTCTGTACTTGTAATAAACTGTACTGAAGCAATCTAAACAACAGTGTGGATGGTCAACACAATCTTCACAACAACTGGTTACTCTGTGAACCTTACTCTTCTTTTTAATGCGTCTTTTGCATTATTTCCGATCTGACTGGATGTTTCCACCTTCTTGAAAGTATCCGAATCCAGACTTCATGTTCTGTTTTCATCTGGGTCTTTTTCAACATTCTCATGATTTAGCACTCCCCGGCAATTTCTTCCTTGAATTTTGTAATAGAAATATCCTCCTCTCTTGTTTTCTTTTTGTAAATGGAGTTTGCACTTGTAATTTCCTGTACATCTCACTGATAATCAGAGACTTGTTGAACAGCTACGTAACTGATCTATGAGAACAATTGAAGATTTGCCAGAGTTTTATCTGTAGCCTTGTGGTTTGATTACTGTTTCACTGCACCTGGTGACTCAGACTGTTTCATTTGAATGCCAAATGCTGAGGAGTGTGACATGTACGAGTATGTATCATGCCATTTCAGTGTCATAATTCCCCTGCTGCCAATTCACCCTTTCGCAATTTTGCATTGATGACTTCATATGAATTTCCTTCCTGCCTGTATGTAGCATGCTAAGATGTATATCATGACCATGATGAATGCTGTTAAGTCCTGTACTTGTGTTACTGCTGTCCCTCCACATGCAAGTAGGAAATCTGAAAGTTGCAACACCACTTTTGTGGGGTTACATGCTCCAGCATCTGCCATCCTGCCAGTATATAATCTTTATGCCATATATATATATATATATATACGTGTGTGTGTTTCACAGGAATGCACTGTTTCACCAGTAGTTGCCATAAGAAGGGCACAACTGTTTTCATCAATAGTCTTCTCAGGGTTGACCATTCCTTGAAAATTTTATATATGCATATCAATTAACACATGAATTTTCATACAGTGGACATTCTTCACTACTGCAAAAGTGCCACATCTGTAACAAGCTGTGGAGGCCCATAGGGTTGAGAGATGTTGAGGCTCCCACATTTTCTAGACAATTGGCTCACAGATGGCGGTGAGGTTGTCAGCCTTAAGTGATGGCTGCCCTTTACCCCCACCTCCCGAAATATTCCTGGTGCTCATTTCTGTTAGAGGCTGAGTCAACCCCAGGGCCATAGCACAGCTGGAATGATTAGGTAAACTGAAAAAATCCACCTCATCGGGATTTGATCCTGCGACCTTCCAGCTTGTAGCAGTGCCTCAACCAACTATACTACCGCGTGTCCGCTCATCTGTAACAGAAGCTGAAACTAATTCATACCAATAGCATCTAAAGCCTCTTCCTTTCCACCTAAGATCCTTTGCTCCAGTAATCTGTAGTAATAGGGAACTGCACCAAGCCAATCCATGCAAGGAGCCCTACAAATCTGCTCAACTCTATTTTGTAGGTGGCTGCCATGAATGCACTCTATGTTGCGTGATGTCTTGACTCATCGAGCAACTTATACATGACCATAGGGCATTCTATCAGCCAACACAGCAGCTACTCCAGGATCAATACCAAGAACTCCTGTAAAATATGCTTGGGCTGATTACCTTCAGGCAGAGCCCATCCATCAATCAAGGCCATTTCAGGTGGCTCTTGTACTCCACTGCTGACATCTTTTAGTGGCTGAGCTGCACTCTGTGGTGGAACTGATATACGAGTACAAGGTTTGCCATATCCTCTAGAATGTCCAGTGATATATGCATTAGGTATCCCGCTGTTTTCTTTCGTTCTCTGGAGACCCATGAATCAAACACTGGCACATTTTCAGTGTCTTAGGTGTCTTTACTTTGCCAGTCATACATGGGAATGGTCCTGTATTTGAAGTAAAAGGCCATGAAGTGGACACATATGAAATGTCAGATGATGAAAATTTTTCACCATTAAATAATCTTGTTGGAATGAATCATGATTTATTTGATAAATTCAGCCTCTGCATTTTTGAACCTTGAAATATGTATGATCTGGAGGATTCCATGGCATCAGGACAAGGTGGAATGATCTTAGCACCACCAGATCAATCTGGATTATCAGAAATAGATGGCAGATAAATGGGACCTTTCATGGAGTCACTGGTTCTGTAATCACTTTCCAATATCCCAGACATTTCCAAAGCAGAACAGGAAGTTCAGAAGTAGCCACATGGATAATAATGGCTGTATATATTTTTATAAGAAAAATATACAATTCATTCATTCATCAGTAATCTGTCAAGACGACAGGTCCACAGTCTCTTCCAAAACAGTTCCTCCACTTGATGCGATCTAGAGCTTTCTCCTTCAAATGAAACATCTCGCATACATGGTATCTCTGGTTTTGGAAAGAGACTATCCAGGAAAATTGATAATGTGGTAGTTTTTCCATTTGCTTTCCACATCGCAGTACAATAGGCGTTCAAACCACTCTGGTCACGCCTGTTGCTATACGAACTTGAACCATCTCGAGCATTATTTACTCTGTGCTTCAAGTCGCTGCTGATGACGCTGCTTCCGGCATCAGTTTTTGGTGTCTCTCTTCGTCTGATGCCTACCCTTTGACCTGTCCAGCAAGGGAGGCCCTGCCAGTAGCTACGCTACCGCTGGTATAGCTCTCAGGGTCCTTGGCATACTCAAACCCCCTCACCACGATTAGGTGGAGCCACCAACGAGGGGGGAATCCTCCAAGCGAGGGGATGAGTCTCAACAGATCGCAGCATGGCAACTGCTCTACCGAGTACAACACCCCGCCCGGTGTACCAGAATTATATAACAGACATTTACCTTAATTTGTGTAGTGCATCGACACAAACAAAATAAAACAACTGTCTCCAGCACTAAGTTCACTAAGAATTAGTTGTAGTAACATTAAAGGCTTGTGATAACATTCATACTGCAGTCCCATTGTTAAAACAGTGTTTATGAAACACTTGCTCACCTACAGCTAATATCACTGAAAGCAGGGCAAAATTTGACAAAATCCAGGAAATCTGGATTGAAATTATGTTGAGAAGTTGTGCTCACACAACAACAGTCACTGGTGCCTGCTCTAATAACAAGATGTTCTGGAAAGAACCAACTGCCTACTTTCCTTTGATATGACATAGATTGCATAGAAAATGACATGTCCAACAATTCTTAATTGCTGCAGGAACGTGTTTATCTAGCCAATGACTATCAATTATGGGGGATAGAATGGGGAATACACATACAGAACTTCCTTTGATATGACACAGACAGCATAGAAAATGATGGACCTAAAAAATTTTCTATTGTGTATGTACTCCTTGCTGCAGGCACATGTTTACCAAGCTGTTGTCTATCATTGATAAAGTACATACACATATAGACACACAGCAAGGCGATCTCACTAGCCTCTTTTTATTTTTCAAAATAAGGAAAGTATGCTAAGAAAATTGCCCCCAATAACATCATTATTAATATTAGAGTCAATTTTACCGACCACACAACATATTTTTATTATTATTACACTACATGTTTCGACCTCAAGAGGTCATCCTCAGGTGTACGAACACAGCTGTATAATTACACGCAATCACATTCGTCTTCTCACTTATTCGATCCTGTATCTTATTCAGGCCCACGCTCAATAATATATCAAGTTCCTTTCACAAAACATAAGTTAAAATAAGTGAAAAGACGAATGTCATTGCGTGTAATTATACAGCTGTGTTCGTACACCTGAGGATGACCTCTTGAGGTCGAAACATGTAGTGTAATAATAATAAAAATATGTTGTGTGGTCGGTAAAATTGACTCTAATATTAATTAAATACACAACAGGATGCAAGAAACAATTAAACATCATTATTGATATTTTGTAAAATAAAATATAAACAAATTATTTACAAATGATCTAAAATGAAATACCAGTTCTGGCCTGAGAAGAACAAACTTTAAAATTCAGTGTGGTAGTCAATGTGTTAAGTCATTCATTAAGAACAAGTGATTAAAAATACAATAATTGCACAACTCATATGAAAATTCTAATAAAATTCTGCCCTTGATGAAACTAACAAATATTAATGCAAAGAACCACAAATTATTATCCTCATATTTAATTAAACACTTATCACAAAAATGTTTCAAGTCAGAGTCAGAATTCCTACCGAGGTTTATATTGTTACAAGATTTTGTGTGTTACTGGTATAATCCCATGAACTCTTTTTATATAACATTCTGCAGACAGAAGAAGCAGGTTCTATGCGTATGGGCATGCCTGATGTGCATGGCAGTCATCTCTGGAAGTGCGACAATCTTCATGCTAATTTGTGAATGTGGGTGTCATGAAATTACAAGGGGGGGGGGGGAGAAGAGAAAAATACTTCTATGTCATGAATTAAAATCTAGTTATCCAGTCTTCTGCCAGTCAGTTTACTCAGAATGCTCAGAAACATCATGGATCATTCTGAAAAAGTAGAACGGTAGTGAACATATGATTATCTCACCTATGGCGGACTGACTTGAACATATGGAAGCAGGTGTAGAGCAAGTGTACAGACAAGGCAGACCAGAGATCAAACTCGTGACTGCATTCTGGGCAGATATATGGCTTCATTTGTCTGTGGATGCGTTGATGAGCTGAGAAACTACAGGGTGATGGCAAGATGAGGTTACATGTTTTACATTTGAACTGCAAATCAACTGGCAAATTTGAACACAGGAAATGATCCTTCATATCTCCAGTTTGTGGCACAGTACCACACTCCTTACATTCCATGGAACCTATAAAACGAAATATACTTAAGTAATTGTAATAACAAAAATATATTAGTCCATGATGTGTATGTATTGACCATCTTCTAGTGCACACAATCTCACTTGTCACTTCACTACATGTTTCGGCATCACTGTGCCATCCTCAGGTTGTTTATAAAATGACTTAAAATGTATATTCATCATGTACTATAATAAAATTTTGTTAAGATTTATCATCTTATACGTCATATTTTCAAACTTGCGTATTATATCAATCTTCCACTATGGGAGTCGTTCTTCCTATATTTTGTGTATACTGCATCTTGTGATGTGTCCTCCCGTAGTGGAAGACTGATATATGCGAGTTTGAAAATACGACGTATATTATAGTTTTCGAGACAACCAACCCCAGTCACAATAAAGATAAACCAAAAACAACTGGAGAATGTGAAATGTTTTAAATATTTGGGTAGCTTGTTAACAGATGATGGAAGGTGTACTAGTGAAATTAAATCCAGGATTGCCATGGCAAAAGCTGCATTTAGCAAGAAGAAGAATCTTTTTACCAGCAAATTGGACTTAAATTTGAGGAAGAAACTAGTGAAATGCTACATTTGGAGCATAGCTCTGTATGGGGCTGAAACATGGACACTTAGGGCAGTAGATCAGAAACATCTGGAAAGTTTCGAAATGTGGTGTTGGAGAAGGATGGAGAAGATCAGTTGGACCGATTATGTGAGAAATGAAGAAGTGTTAATTAGAGTCAGTGAGCAGAGGAATATCCTACATGAAATAAGAAAACGGAAGGCTAATTGGATTGGTCATGTTTTATGCAGAAACTGCCTTCTAAAAGAAGTTATCGAAGGAAAGATAGAGGGGTGGATAGAAGTCATAAGAAGACAAGGAAGAAGACGTAAGAAGATGCTGGATGACCTTGGGGACAGAAGAGGATACTGTCATTTGAAGGAGAAAGCTCTAGATCGCATTAGGTGGAGGAATTGTTTCGGAGGAGACTGTGGACCTGTCGTCTTGACAGATAACTGATGATGATGACGTGACGAATATACATTTTAAATCATTTTATAATCGACATATGATGGTGAGCAGTGCAATAGTTTAATGTAAATAACATACCCGAGGATGGCACAGTGATGTCGAAACATGTAGTGAAGTGACACGTGAGACTGTGTGCACTAGAAGACAGTCAATACATACACATCACGGACGTGAATCAGTGCAACAGGACGCTAAAATACAACATTAAAAATATATTAGTTTTCTAGAAAAATATTCCTAACCTCCAAGTAATGTCTGTCAAAGTGAGAACTAATGGTGGGTACTTATTTTCAACTGGTTCAATTTAATAGCAACTTATAAATAGAGAACATTTAAATTAACCATGTAACCTAATATCTATAATCACAAAAAATATTCAACAAATAAACTTCCAGTATTCAAATTCATAAAATAGCCAAGCAAACTAATATTCATATAATGTAATAATCAATTTTTATCAAATTTTCTGCTAAAAGAGAGCTACTACACATTAAAATCTCAAATGTTCAGGTTAGCAATGGAAGTTTACAATGTAATAAGAACAGAAGTTTCCTTTTTAACACATATTAAGACCTATTGTAATGTGATCAATTAGGTTTAAACAGTAAGACTGCACTGCTCTATAATGGGGAACTTTCACAAGTGTCAAACCAGTAACAAAGATATCCATAACCCATACAGTTTCTGCCTAAATGCCAGATCCACATTCAGAAACAAGGTTTTTGTGACAAAATTATCATAGTAAAACCACCCTATTCAATATGGTGGAAATGCCTCTACCAAAAGCAGATTACATTAATTTTAAGTTGAAGTATTAATTTCAAATGTTTAAACAGATAAACAGTGAAGCTATCGGAAAGTTCCCAGACTAGGTAAAAAGATAAATGCTGGCTTAACTTACTCAGTTTTGGATGCCATCTCCTTGGGAATGTAATACAGTGATTCCATCTTCCACACTTCAAAAGCACAGTGGAAGTCATTTTCCATACTAATGCTGAGTACCATAAGCGATTCCCTTTGGATGTCAGGTATTCTTTCAAAATGTTGTGCCTTCAGTTTCATTTTCAAGTAGGGAAACAAAGCAAAATCACAGGTGGTCAAGTCCAGCAAGTAGGGAGGATTGGATAGATAACCATGTTGTTGTTAGTCACAAACTCTGCGGTTTTCAGGATGTGGTTAGATGCATTGTCATGATGAAGGAGCCAGCTGTGGTTGTGCCAAAGTTCCGGTCTTTTTCGTCGCACACTTTCTCTCAAGCGTCTCAAAACATCAAAGTAAAAGTCAGAGTTGACTGTAGTGTTAGGAGGAACAAATTCAGTGAACAATCCCCTTCATGTCATAAAAACAATGAGCATCCTCTTTGTTGAACTCCACACCTCCCACGCCTTTTTTGTCCTTGGTGATTGTGGGCTCTTCCACTGTGATGACTGTTACTTTGTTTTGGGATCATAACCATAAATCCAACTTTTGTCACCCATTATGATTCTAGAGATAAAAGTTGGGTCCTTGTTAGTCTTCTCTCGCAGCTCAAGACACAGGTTTACAAGCCGCTGCTTTTGATCATTTCTCAAGAGTCGAGGAAAAAAACTTTGCAGCAACGTGGACCATATTCATATTTTCTGTTAAGATCTCCTGGTAAACTCCATAACTGATATCCATGGTGTCTGCGAGTTCATGGAATGTTCAGCGATGGTCTTCATGGACGAGTTCTCAAAATTTTTCAGCATTTTCTGTCATTTTGCTGGTACTTTGTCGCCACCCTGAACATTCATCATCTTCAGCTGACACTCGACCAGCCTTGAAATGTGAATGCTATTCAAAAGCTTCACGTAGCATTTCAAAGGCTTCGGTAGCAGATTTACTGAGCTTCATGCGAAACTTGATGCAGATACGTTCTTCAACTTTGCCATCCATCACGAACAAAACAAGACAAAACACCAAGTCCAAAAAGCACTCCTGTAAAAACAATGTGAGTTCACAGCATGGTGTCACAGGCAGACTGATGCAATAGGCTTGTGTGTGACCTTGGCCTTCCCTCTCATATTTCACTGAGGCAGTTACAATAACAACAGTCCGGGAACTTTCCGATAGAACCTTGTAATTATAAATCAAGAAATCATGAATTATCAAGCCTGCAGACAATTTCATGCCATACCAAGATTTGCATTGCAATAATGCCCTGGAATAGTCATATATCTTTTAATGGTATCTATCACACCACCATCCTCTTTAATATATGTACTGCAAAGTATAACTCACCTGGTAGTTCACCGTCAGGAGTCGAGTTATCTGTTGTTGATACATCAGGCACCTGCCTCAGCAGTACATCATCAGATTGCTGATTATTGTCTTTAGTATTTAATGATACATTCTTTCCACCACTGACCGGTAACTGCTGGTGTGTATTCTTATCAACCACTTGGTTTTGATGAACATTATTTTTGTTTTCTGGTAAGTTATTATTATCACTGGAACTCACTTCCTTTGACTCATTTTCATGTGATGCCACCTATGTGGAAAAGAATGCAAGTATGGAAAGCCTGTTTTTTGTTTGAATAAATTATACTAATTCCAGTGTAACCCTGTGATTTGTAAGTTTTCATACTATATGCCAGACTTCAATGAAGTTCTCTTTCCTACAATTTCAATAAAGAAAATTAGAAAATGAAATTTGGTACACATATGCTTAAAACTTTATCAGCAGAAACATTAATGCCTTTCATCACACTTTCAATGATACAGACTGACAGCCCCTATTGTTTACATTATTTATTTCATAAATGAACAAATCAAAGAGCATATGAACTCAAATCAGGTTTACTAATGAATCAAATACAACAGCATATGATGATTTTCTTTAAATAAAATAACTGTAACAACAGTCTACACAAAGTAAAATCAGAGGATGTACACATGTATGCATACTCTGTTCTGTCCATGCATACTTACGCATATGTGAATATGCATATTCATTAAAGGATTAATCCAGGAACTTCATGTGCATAAAGCTAGGTACAATGTTTATTTATCACATACCCAAGTAAACTAAAACAAAACTGAAGTTCACAGGACAACTGAAATTTTACTCTTTCATTTTATGAATCCTGAGTTACATGAATAAATAAACCTCTAGACAGCATTATTAAGCCTGCCATAACACACATACAGAACTACTGGGATGTCGCCAGATACCCTCCATTCCAATATACATAGTTTTATTTCCAAAAACAAGTTACTTAATACTCTTATGCTCAAGGGTACAATGTACCATTATACATGGCACCTCTGACAAGTTTTCTGGAATGCATCAATCGCTTGCTGGTGAGCACACCAGTTGTGAGGGGGGGGAGTCACTACCTATATGTAAAATAAATGATGCTATGTAAGCAGCAACAGTTGACTATACACTAGACAGTGGGGGTTTATATACAGCAGAGGTGTTGGCATTTTTCTTTTTACTATTACATCCAGAATATATGACACCTTGATAGACTCCTATCCAGTGCATATCAAGGACAAAAGAGAACAGCATGAGGCTGTCAATTCCATCTAGTATTAAGTTGTTAGTTGCTTCACATCCCCTACATATGTCTTTACGGTACACTTCTTTCACAGACAGGCAAGATTCTTAGCATATACAAGGCATGTGCCATTCTTTAGTAGTTGCATTGTTAGAACTCAGCATTGTAATGCTTCCTAAGCATAGATCCTAAAACTGACTTATGTCATTATAAGCATAAGTTGGGGTTTCTTATTAACTTACACAACCCTAATAACACTGAAATTACAAAAATTTAATTCAAATACTGGTCATTAGAATTTATTAAAAGTAATCCTATGACAATGGACTAACCTCAGTTATATGTAATGTACCCCTTACATGACATTACTACCATGGCACTATAGCGTCGATGTATACAGTATTTTCTGTGCAAAAATTATTTTGTAAGACCCTTTAAAATGCCTAACCTGATTATTTACAATTAGAGCTGAAGCTTGTGACTTTTGTTTCTGACTGCTTCCTTCGTGAATAAGACGCCCACAATCGTCCACAGCCATTGGGATAAACGGACCAAGAAGAATCTTATTTTTTGGGAGAGGTGACAGAGATACAGCATCTGATTCCAGTTCCATATCATCATTCTTCTCACTGTCTTCATTACTTCTGAGAGCAAATGATCCATAAGTTATCCTCTCTTCTGAGATATTAATACTTTCTGATGCGGCATCGTCACGTTGCTCAACAAAGTGTCCACGCAAGTGAGCCAACAAAGCACAGCGATTGTAGAACAACACAGTACGTGCACATGTACGACAGCCATAAGAGATTCTAACACTACGACGTTCTATGTGCCGCAATAAGCTGGACTCCAGAAGAAATCTGCCAGAACAATAACAGGGGAAATTATGATATATGAAGACACATTAATATGAAGTCCCTTAAAATGAATGTCACCAACTACAAGAACTTTGCTCACAAATGAAATGTTCGATTTTATTAAAAAAAATAGAAGTCACAAGTTCTAAGCTAAATTTTAGTGAGGTCACTCAAGGAAGAGTACTGCATCCTCATTCAGCTTAAATAACAGTGTAATATTTTAAAATATGTGGATGCACATTGTATACATAAAAACATTTAGGTTCTATATTAATTCAGAGTACTAATTTATTGCAGAACTACATTTACTTGGTAACTACAATTTTAACTACCATTCAGATATTTGACTTCATATACCTTATGCTGTAGACATCACAAACTCTATTTTATTATACAATTTCTTTATTAAAATCGTCACAACACAACATTATTAAGGTCACTGCCTACATTAATATTGTTGTGTTGTGAGAGTTTTAATAAAGAAATTTTATATTATAACACAACAGGATGCATGAAATTAAAACTATTTTATTACATACAATACATTTATTTCCAGCATAATATCCTTTGAGAAATGTTATATAATTTTCATAGTCCTTTCATAGCTGGTGGGATCTATCAGTTCCACTAAATCCTCTTCAATAGAAGTTCGGTGGAAACTCTTGATTCCATTACTATAAAGTGTTGCACTCTTGTGTGAAGTCTTGATATTACTTCAGAAAGTTCCCGGGCTGTTACTGTTGTATCTGCCTCCGTGAAAAAGATGAAAGAGGAGGCCAAGATCACACTTCATCTAGCCTATTGCATCAGTCTGCCACATAACACCGCACTGTGAACATGCATTGTTTTTACATGAGTGCTTTTTGGACTGCGTGTTTCATTTTGTCTGTGATGTATGGCAAAATAGAGCAATGCGTCCGCATCAAGCTTTGCGTGAAGGTCGGTAAATCCACTACTGAAACCCTTGAAGTGTTTGTGAGGTTCTTGGAGGACATCATTTAAGTCGGACAGCGGTTTTGGAATGACATTTATGTTTCAAGGCCGGTCAAGTGTCAGCTGAAGATGATGAACATTCAGGGAGACAGAAAATGTTGAAAAAACTCGAAAACTCATCCATGAAGACTGTCGCAGAACAATCCATGAGTTTGTAGACACCGTTGGGCTCAGTTGTAGAGTTCTCCAGGAGATCTTAACAGAAAATTTAAATATGCACTGCATTGCTGCAAATTTGCTCCCCTGACTCTTGACAAATGGTCAAAAGCAGAGGAGCATAAACCTGTGTCTTGAGCTATGAAAGAAGGTTAACAAGGACCCAACTTTTATCTCTAGGATCATAACAGGTGACAAAAGTTTGATTTACGGTTATGATCCAGAAACAAAGCAACAATCGTCGCAGTGGAAGAGCCCACGATCACCAAGAGCAAAAAGGGTGAGGCAGGTGTGGAGTTCAACAAACAGCACGCTCATTGTTTTTCAATGTGGACTGTCCAGTGTGAATTTGTTGCTCCTAACACTATGACAACTTTGACTTTTACTGCGACGTTTTGAGAAAATGTGCAACGAGAAAGACCGAACTTTGGAGCAACCACAACTGGCTCCTTCATCAAGACAATGCGCCTGCCCACACGTCCCTGAGAACTGCAGAGTTTGTGACTAACATGATTATCATTCCCCATCCTCCCTACTTGCAGGACTTAGCCACCTGTGATTTCGCTTTGTTTCCCACACTGAAAATGAAACTGCAGCTCATGATGTTTTGAAACAATGTCTGACATTCAAAGGGAATCGCAAACGGCACTCAACAGCAGTAAGCAAAACGAACTCTGCAGTGTTTCTGAAGGGCAGAAATAAACGATGAAATCGCTGTATGTGTTCCAAATATACTATTTTGAAGGTGATGGCAGCCAAAAGTGAGTAAATGAGGCCAAAGTTTCTTTCTTGACCTAGTCAGGGAACTTTTCGATTGAACTGAGAGAGTGCATTGGGAGTATAAATTGAAGAAGCACATCTGTTATGTTGTGGAATTGATGGGTAAACCTTTATTATATTGTGACAGTGTCCAGTGTGTTCTTTGTTTGTAGCTCTAGATAAGCCTGCATTTCACTATAGATTTTATGCTTTTTAAGAGGCTGCCTAAAACAAATGTAAAATCAGGGAAATAAGAATGTTGAAACATAAAGAAAGCTGTGGTCTTCTTTATGCCAAAACTTTGGCAAATCATTAAAATATATATGTTTGAACACCAACAATGTAAATATACAAGGTGCGACAATTTAATTCCCGGAATCGTCACAGCATATCGCTGGGGTGTTGAGTCAGGCAAACTCATGTACCCAAGCACGTTTGGACATGTTCCAATTTGCGTTTACATGAGCCACAGATCAAATGAGTTGTCCCCTCCCTAGCAGCAGAGCAAGTAGTACATGTCCCTGGTATACTGTTGGCAGAAAAATGAGTGATAAAAATCTGCAGCAGTGGGTAAACATCAAGTTTTCTGTGGAGATTAGTTAGAACTATTAACAGTGGCTTATGCTGAATATGCTATGAAGAAATAGTGTTTTCGAATGGCACAGGCTGTTTAAGGAAGGGTGAGAAGATGTGCAAGATGACCTAAGAAGTGGGCAGCAAATACGCAAAGGACAGATGCAAATGTGGACAGAGTATGAACATTGGTGCGCTCAGGTCGAAAATTAGGTGTGAGACAAATAGCAGAAGAATTGAATATGAATAGGGAAACAGTGGAACAGATCATTACGGATGATTTAAGAATGAGAAAAATTTGCTCAAAGATCTCGAATCTTGACAGATAAACAGAAACAACATCGGTTTAACATTTTATCTGATCTTTTACACAATGTAGAGATGTTTGAATGGGTCATTACTGGTGATGAACGTGTTTTCAATATGACCTGGAAACAAAAGGCCATAGAGCATGCTGTGGAAAACACAGAATTCACATGTTTCGCTTGCAGCTTAAGACCGTGCTTGTGTGTTTCTTTGATCACAAGAGGATAGTTCACTATGAATTCATTGCACAAGGACAAAGGGCGAATCAAAGGTGTAATTTAAAGTGCTGACAAGGTTAAAGCAATCTGTTTGGAGGAAAAGACCCGAATTCTGGCATGACAAGTGGATTCTGCACCATGACAATACCTTTCGCATGTTGCATTAGGAGTCTGCGAGTTCCTGGCTAAGAAATCCATTACAAAAATGGACCATCCACCTTATTCGTCTGACTTAGCTACCTGCGACTTTTGGCTCTTTCCAAAATTAAAAAATGCCCTGAAGAGAAAACAATTTGCTGAAATTCCTGACATCCAATGAAATGTGATGTTACTGCGAGGAACTGTGAATAACGATTTTCAAGACTGTTTCCGGCAGTGGCACCATCGTCTTACGAAGTGTACAGCTTCACAAGGAGAGTATTTTGAAAGCGACAGCAGCCACTAGTGCACAGATAAGTAAATTTTGCTTTCACAGGGCCATTCCATGAATTCAATTGTCACAACTTGTAAATGTAAATGAAAATACAGTTCTTGGTTTACTTTATAGTGCTTTATCAACTGCTGTGTGCATGTAACTTTGGTAAGAAGAGATGGCGATTATTTCTGGTGAATGGAAAGGATGTGGAAAGAAGTAGACATGGCCTATTTCAAGGCACTATCCCAGGATTTGCCTGGAAGTGCTGGCAAATACAGTACATACCTAGTTACACTATTTCTCCAACCAGTCTTTTGTTTCTTTTGTTCTCCAGCTCTGTCTGTATAATTCATTCTCAGCTTCACTACACATTACAATAATACTGTGCTTGGTATCAAATTGATGTACGTGCTTTCTATCTGCTTCCAGTTCTAGTCAAATGTTGATCTAACACCTGGTTGATGGTGTGGACTCCACACAGTTGCATGTTGGTTAGTCCTCAAACTGCATTCCAAGAGGCTGTAAACTGAGCCAGTCATCCTCTTCACTTTCAGTGAGTTTCATTGCACTGTCATCATTGCTGCTCACATAATCAATTGAGAAACTACATTTCACAAAGCAGTTCTTGATTGTACTGGATGTTAGTAACCTCCAGGGTTCTGCTATTAAGTGCATTGCAGGCAACAGATCCAGCTTCATCTGTGCAACATCTAGCATGGTTGCAGTCTTTGAAATCAGCTGCTTTCTGTAATGGCAATTGAATTCATGGATGGTTCTCAAATATAAAGGCTGTGGCTGGCTCATATAGTTAGCTGGGAAAAACAGAACTCTGATGTTGCTGAAAAATGTAATGTTCTTCAGATTAGCAGCAAACTGATAAAAGCTACATTTTGAGACTTTTTAACCCCGTTTTCTAACTAGTTGTGTGAAGTATCACTGATATAGTTTGGCAGTCATCCAGGAACATGAATTACATTCATATTTGGTAGTCAGTCTCTTGACATTCTTGAAGCAACATGGGCTACTATATTTTCCTATTACTGGAGTGGTAGTTTATCACTACCATCTTCACTGAGCATGAGGAACACAGTAACCCACTGTTTAGGTTCTGTACCACTACGGTAAAAGTGTCACCAGAAAGTGAGGGTTTTCCTAGGTTGTGGGCTGAAAAATAGTGACCTATCTCATCAACATTATTTAATGTCACAGAGGGCATAACATTCAACTTCTTGCAATAGTTGGTAATTTTTCCAGGCTTCTACAGTTTCTGAATCAACATTCCTGCTCTCACCTGATGGATTTCTGTAAGCCTCTTCATTCACCCACTGGAAGCAGAAAAGCTAGCTATTTTCAGATTAGCAGAGATGTGTAAGCCCTTCTCCTTGAAGTGGGTGTTGACTAGGGAAGAATTACTCTTACATGATTGCTTGAACTATGCAGCAAATGCAGATTCCAGTACTTGCAGTGAAGTACATTTCAAAGACTTCTACTGCTTGGAGAAAGGTCCATGCTACATGAATTTTTTTCAATTTAACGGTTCTCCACAATAGGTAGCAGTAACATAGCGCTCGCGTAATAGGCGA